TACTCTCATTCTCTTTGTCTCTGTCTCTCTGTCTCTCTCTCTCTCTCTCTCTCTCTCTCTCTCTCTCTCTCTCTCTCTCTCAAATAAGTCATTAGGAAAGTCCTCCTGTCACTCACTTGGCTTCCAGCCATGTATGCACTGTTCTGTCAAAAACATGTTTGGTGTCTGCCCACCATATGCAAATCAGAAAGTGTCTTTTGGTTGATTGTGAACACCTGCAAATGAAGGGCTGAGAAGAGCATCATCAGATTGGTCCTGTGAAGATTCCCAGATTCAGAGTCAAATGAAGGACTAAGAAGGACAAATTTCTGATTGGTCCACAATAGCACTTTTCTGATTGGTTCCATCTACAGGGATCATTGCCTATATTCGGAGGTTTCTCACTCTGTTGCCCATCTTCTGCTGCTCTACTGCAGTATTTTGAATTGTTTTTTACTGAAGAGTTAGTTCCAAAAATCACCAACAACATGAATGCCCAAGTTCCTTGTTGGTGCCAAAGCCACCTGGGTGAAAAGTTTTTTGTGAGTGGACAAATGGAAAATCACTGACAGTGGCAAACTAAAAATCCTTTTAGTGATAATGTTACTATAAAGAAACCTGAGCAGGGGGGAGAAAAAGAAACCTGAGCTGGAGTTGTTTTGGTCAACAAAGCGTCTTTGGATACACCTTGCCTCAAATAGATTAAGACTAGTAAAAGACTTGCTTTTCCTTTGGTGCCTACATTTTGTCAACAGTTCTTCTGTGTTTGCTGGTCAATCAAAGGCTCAAACTTCATTGCAGAAGATCAGATTTGTTCTTGACTTTATTAAAATAAGTTTTCAGCTGTATATACTCCAAATAGAAACACTGCTGTGCATGAATCAGTGATTGTGGGTAGTTAGGTATGAAGCAAAATAGCCTGACAAAATGAGTTAGTCTGCTCTTGAACTATGTGTACTTTGTAAAAGTCACTTTGGCTACTTGTGGTGTGTACTGTTCCCACAGGGTCCAGCGTGAATTTGGGAATTTAAGCTGATGACCTAAAATCATTGCACATTGTTCTTACGTTGGCCAACCACCTTTTGGCCAAGGAAACTATGTCTTGTTTGGTAACCTTTAGACATCTCCTGTGCTTTTCAGAAAATTATGTCCTAAAAAGACAGAGGCCATTGGAATAGCTCCTTTGAACAGGAAAAGGATGCCAGATGAGCTGGAAATAAAGGATTATGGAGGGGACAGCTGTAGCCAGGTTCTGTCTTGAACCCCTGGCCTGCCATAGTGTGACAGGAGCGTAGTGGCAATGTTGTCAACAATCCATTCTGATGAACAGAGACAGCAGAGAGGAAAAGAACACCAAGAAGCTGTTTGGCACTGTGGATTATAACGAGAGTGTGGGAGCCATGGGCTTCGATCAGACGCTTACCTCCTACCCACCAAGCACATATGGCTTAAGGGTTGGTGTGTGAAGTTCCTTTGCTACCTTCTAAGCACCGCAGCTCTGACTCCTCTGTCCTGTAGCCACATCAGTTTCAGACACCATTGACTGAGAGAGAAGCGTGCTTGCTTCAGCAGCACATATACTAAAATTGGTTGAGAGAGGCGTGTCACCAGCCTGGGTGGCAACACCTTCATGGGCGTCTGTGCTCCGGCAGGTCCTGTTTCTATTTCCCCAGGAGCATGCCACCAACATCAGGGGAACAGAGCCTCACAGGTCTCCATGGTTTTGCTACTTGAAGATAACAAGGGTGGCAGGAAGATCCAGGGAGAAATTTTGTTTTTGTTGCTTCATACTTTAAAATTCACCTCACCAAAGTAAAAATTATTAAAGGCTGATGATCATGTGCATTTCTGTCACATTAGAGCTATAGACAAGTTCTGTGTAGCAACAACTGCAAGAACAGCTTTACATTTTATTTTCATATTGTAAACCAATCAGGTTTACTTTAGCCTCAAAGCATGTTGCTGTACAATTACATCGATGCTTGCATCAAGTTGTACTTTTTCTCAACAAGAATTGGGTTATTTTTGTCTCTTTCCTTCTGCATAGTAGTGGTTTGAGAAGATGTTAATCAGCAATTCCAGCACAGCTAGCATCAATAGCCTCTAGTAGAAGCCCGGAACCCCACTGAGTGGGGTTCAGCCCACCGAATGGGGCTCCCAGGATGTGTAATGTTCCTCGCAGGTCTGTCCTCCTGTCACATCATGCCCCAGTGTTCTGGACTGGAGGTGAGCCTTTGAGAATAACTTCTTGTTGTCACCACACCAATGGCTTCCAGAGGTGTTGCATGAATGACATCTCACAAGAAGTAGATCCTTGTGCAGATAAGCTCTGGTAATACTGGAAGAAGAATTGTTTCACTCTTAATTAACCAACTCCATCCTCCATAAAACAAAAACAAAACAGCTTGCTTTTCCTCAGCTAGACTTTCTGAAGTTATTTAATAGAGTCTTAAATGATTTTAAGGGCTAGGGAGATGGCTCAGTAGAATAAGTGCTTCCCTGGCAAGCGCAAGGGCCTGAGTTCAATCCCTGGCTCCCCCCAAAAAAAAAAAAAAAAAAAAAAAAGATTTTAAAATTTTGTTGCCATATAGTCTTGATAATAATGCCTCTGGCTGCTGTGTCCAGCTGCTTCTGCCGTCCTGAGAGCCAGCCCACTGCTCACTGTGCAGACTGGCTGGTGTGGGGCATCCCTGTGACCCAAGCAGGTCCCTCTGCCTCAGGGACCCATACTTCCCCGGGGCTCAGAGAGCTCTGTGCACCCTGCAGGGGGCAGGGGCACTGCCTTCCAGTCTAAAGAAAAGTCAAGCAGGAGCTCTGAAATTTCAGTAGCAGCCCTACACACGGGGCTGGCAAGCAGCTGTGCACACCGACCAGTGTGCACATGGTTTCCCCCAACACTGGGAGGCATCCAGGTGGGCTCAGCTGCCTTGGATTCCATGCCCAGCTCTGTCTGCCTCCTGATAAAGGCTCTGCATTCTGCTGGAGGAGGAGGTGGATTCGCTGTACCTCAGTGGGAGCCACCCCAGGTGTGCAGAGGGTTGGGAGGAGCTCTCTCCAAGAGTCTTAGTGGGATCCTGAGAAACCTACAAAGCAGTCTGAATAAGATATTCAGATCTTGAAACCTCCATGGAGCAGGTTTTCCCTCCTTTCTGTCATGAGTTTTGATATATAAGAGGAATGTAACTTAGAAAGTTGGTCTGCAGTCACTGCATTCTGCTATTCACTGGGGCATTTTGGTGCCCCTGAAATTGGGTAATCTGTAAAAAGACAGTCAACATGTGAAACATGTTCATTTAAAAGCACACTGTTGGGCCAGCGAGATAGCTTAGTGGTCTAAAGCGCCTGCTTAGGCAAGCTTAAGCAGGCGCAGGGGACCACGGTTTGATCCCTGGCATCACATGCCATGCCAGCCCCCCTCCCCCAGGGTAGGTAATGTTTCTACATATAGGCAGTGATAACCAAGGGGCACTGAGGCTAGAAGGTGAGGTGTGGAGGCGGGCATATTGCCACCATGTTGCTATAAGAATAAACCTACATAGTATGAAATACAACTTTCCGTGTAGTGCTACAATATGTCTGTAACCTCTTAAGGGACACACATAAATTACATTTGGTAAACTGGCCTCTTTGAATGCCGCGTTCCTTCTGTACCGTACTTAAAAACAGCTTAACTGATGTTCTGTTTGGTGACTTCACCAGACCCTCAGGTATGTGATTCTTGAGTTACTGACTTAAAGTTTGGAATGACATGATTTCGTCTTAGAAATTCCTTGTTTTCTGCAATCATCTACAAAAGCTTTTTGTGTGGTAGAGCCCGGCGTCTGACTTTACCTTCCTAATAGATTAAATTCCTTGTAGTGATGTTTCTGGGGTTCTCTGGCATATTGTAAATTGACTGGGCACAGTATAGACAGCATTTAGTGGCCACCCACACATGGGAGCTTTGTGAAATGTCACTAAACCAGTGCTTTGAAAACTGGACTATATTTTTGGTGCACTAGTGTTAAATACAATAGCAGATCATTTTATAATCTTACTAATCTTCATAGTGGCAGAATCACATCATCTCCACTCTTGAATCTCAATTCTCATATTAAAAAAAAGCTCAGCTTAGCATTATAGATTTAAGATCAAAATTCTGCCCCTAGCTGCCTATTGATCATATTTTTGTTTTCTGTCTGTTTTGTAGCCCATGTTATTGCGAAGGCAAAAGGCCTGGCTATCTTGTCTGTGATCAAAGCCGGCTTCCTGGTGACGGCCCGAGGAGGCAGCGGCATTGTCCTGGCACGCCTTCCAGATGGAAGTAAGTTGGGGTCTCTGCGAAACCTGCTGGCTTTGGTTCCTTTGCAGCATGGATGCTTTCACAGGGGGTGTCAGCCTGGTCCTTGTCGCACCAGCTATGCATGCGATGAGGCAGCCCGAGTATCAGGAGCTAAGGAAAACAGGGAGCCTTTCTTTGGGGAACTAGGCTGGGCTCTGGCAGATCTGACTCTGTCTTCCCATCATTCCATGGTCTTCCTGGAGTGCTTCCTACACGTGGCAGCATGGGCACTTCGCACGAGAATCTCACCTTTCTTCTGCCGGGAGAAGTTAATGTGGAAAGCAGGGCCACCAGCAAGCTCTCTATTTCTGTGGGAGGTTGTGAATCTGAAACATTTGCAGGACCCCTTCCTGTCCCCAGCACTGGTAAAATCATGCTGGGAGCAGGATAATTGAGTATCACCTTCTGGGGGTGAAATCTATTCCTTGATTTTTCAGAAATTCACTCAAAATATATTTGCCAGAAGTCGTAAGAACCAACTAACATTTTCAGTATTATTTAAACGTATGTCAAGGTCGTGACCAGCTAAGGTTTTATACAACTTAACTTGTGCTGTTCTCTCCTAGAAAAGAATATATTGCTCACTTGATAGTTGTTTTTACGGCCTATAATCAAGAAATGATAACTCTTTTCTGGAACATTGTCCAGTTGGTCACAGGGAAAACCAGCTGCACAGAGAGGCTCCTTCCAGAGGTCTCCTGGCAGGAGACTGCAGGAGCTCAATGACCGTCTCCAGGCTGGGCCCTGGCCACCCACTTACAGAGTGGCTGGCTGCAAAAGAGGGGACCTATCTGTGCCAGGTCTCCTCCTGTCACCCCCAACAGCCTTCCTCCTAGTTGCAAAACCTAAATTCTTCCTTGGTTGAGAAGCAGCAGCAGCCAGGGAGGGAGTGATTTCAAAGCTGTCCAAATAAGGTAAGGCAGGTTCCCATCGCCGACACAGTTCCTGGGAGCTAGACGGTTCTTAACTTCAGAAATAAAGCGAGGTGGGGACTCACCGCATGGTAATGTCTGCAGCCAGAAGCCTTGTGTCCACAGTTCGAGCTAGGCTGGTGAGGACAGGCAAGGCAGCACCTGCCGCCAGAGGGCGCTAAGGGCGAGCGTGCAAGACTGTGTTAGTCATTCCCACCCTCCCCCACCGAACGAAAAATATGTTTTTCTAGACTTGTTTAACATAACTGTTTCTATATCAGGAAAAATATGCACACAGTAATCCGAAAGTGTGCCACTTTAAGGCACAGGGAATTATTGTACTTCGCTTCCAAGTGTAAAGAAATGTGTCTTGTTAGGATTTTAATGATCTTAAATTTATAACCCATGTCCTCAGCTTCTGAGAGGCATAGGAGGGCGAAAACAGTTTTTGCCTCAGAAATTCACCATGGAAACTATTTAGTGTAATGAAACCCCTAGGACTGTTTATAACAAAGCCTTGAATCCTTCTGATCTCTTATGGCTATGATAGAACTGTAACCAAAGCCTACAGCTGCTGCTGCTGCATTTGAAAATACTCCTGTTGAAAGTATCAAACATTATATATGTGTGGCGGGTAAGAACCAGCTGTCTTCACTCCAGTGTGTGTTAGGAAAAGGGCAGGAACTTCTGAGTCTGCAACTCACGATGACGATCTAATACCTTTGGGAGAGCCTCAACTTTTGAATGATTTTATACTTCAAAAAATATTTTAAAATGTGGGAAGAAAATACCCAAGTCTCACAATTTATAATGAAACACTGGTGTTTGAACATTTCCCCTCCCATATTCATACATCAAGGACATGTTTTTGAAATATGTTTTTGTTTGTTTTCCTCAGAGTGGTCTGCACCCTCTGCCATTGGGATTGCTGGGCTCGGTGGGGGATTTGAAATAGGAATTGAGGTAAGTGGCACTGTGCATACCTGCACAGTCGCTGTGTCCCCAAACCCCACACCTGAACACTGAGAGGTTTCCTACTATACCTGCTACCTGCTTTGCTCTCAACACCTGCAGAAATGATTCCCTGTATTTTCATTCTTTCTTGCTCTCTTTCTCCCCTCTCTCCTATCTTCTTTTATTTTTTGTTTTTTAAATGCTGGGGATTGTGCCCAGGGCCCTTACACACCATGCAGGCACCCTGCCCCTGCACTGTACCCTAGATCCTTCTGCTTTCTCAGGGCAGCTATCTAATGGTTCTGATTTTTCTTTGAGAGGAGGGTTTCTGTCTCCCTTTCATCTGCTTCCCTCTTGGATGCATCTATACAACAGATGTACCCCAACATCCAACAGAGCATAACTGGCAGGCTGTGAGTCACTAGTGGGCTGATGGGAAAGCCAACGCTGGGGATCCAGGGTGGGGGCTGCATGCATTCTTCACTGTGGTAGAATACAGATCTGTGACATCCGGCATTCAAATCCTTTCAAGCTCTTTGAGTGGAGATTAGTCTCATGACACGACTGTTTGTAGCTCCTCTCTTAGTGAGCCTGTGTAGCAAGTCGGCTGGAAATCACAGGCCAGCTCACCCTTGCTTAGCGCGGCCCAGCAGCGTGGGCCGCCCTCCCCTGCGCTCATCTCCCACCTGTTGCTTTATCGCTAAGCAGACAAGGTCTCCTAATAGGTACACACATTTCCTGCTCATTTGTTCTCCTGAGCTACCCTGTTGTGCACTTGCACTGCTGCCAGTTTCAGTATCTGCAGCTGCACTACGAAGAGAAGCTTCTGCCAGCTCTTATTCCTGACTTTCTCCACTCACTGCTGCATAAATCTGTACTTTGTGGGGAGCCAGGGAGATGGCTCAGGGGAATAAGCGCTTCCCTGGCAAGAGCAAGGGCCTGAGTTCAAGCTCCAGTTCCACCAAAAAAAAAAAAGTACAGGCTATAGTTTTGGGGCCAGGTAAATAGCTCAGTAGAATAAGCGCTTGCCTAGCAAGCTCAAGGGACTGAGTTCAATCCCCGGTTCCACAAAAAAATAAAAAAGTAAAAAAAAAAATCTATACTTTGTGAAGAGAACGTTTCAAACTGGGCATGCAGGTGGGCACCTGCCTGTACTTCTGGCATGTGGGAGCCTGAGGCAGGAGGACAGCAAGTTTGAGGCCAGCCTTGACAACTTAACAAGACCTGACCTACCCCTTACCTCCTCCACCCCACCAAGGAAGAGATATATTTCACTTGTACCTATCAGAACTGCTTTTTATATTGTGTGAATTCAGACAGCCTGGGGAACCCCAGGTGGCTCTGCTGAGCAGGGGTGTGTTCAGCATGCCACACCCATGTTCTCTGGATCCTGTGAGATCCTGTTCTGCCTTCCAGGTACCTCTTTCCACAGGCCTCCATCTGTTTTGTTTTTGTTTTTTGTTTGTTTTCTGGTATGTTTTGTGTTGTTTGAGATAGGGTCTCACTGTGCAGTTCAGGCTGGCCTTGAACTCACTACTTACTATTTGAGGCCCAGACTGGCCTCAAACCCTTGGCCATGCTCCCTCCACAGCCTCCTGAGTGCCGGGCTTACAGGCATGCATCACCACAGAGTTTACAACCTTCCATTTGCCTGCATGTGAGGCCAAGGGCTACCTGTCAAGTAATGCTTATATAGACATTCTGGGAGATGTAATAATGACCATGTTAGATTTCAATATCCTAGAAGACAAAAATGAGAATTTCCACAGTGGCTCTTTGGAAATTGTGGCATTTTAGCCATTAATAATCAAGAGTGAGTGAGAAGTAGCCTAACCATCTTACAAGTGACATGGAATGCTCTGAAATGAACATCTTGTAAAGCAAAAAGCCTGGTTGCCTGCAGTCAGCAGCCTGGTGCATGGCCGAGCGATAGGAGTGGGCGCTGTGGCCCAGGTCTGGTCAGTGCCCTTGGCCCTGTGACAGCAGCTGCTGAGCTGTCTGGACCTACATCCTCATCCATAAATGTAACGTGTCCAGTTATTTATGGTTGGCATTCACCGAAACTTTATCGTAAAGCTTATCCTCCTGCCTTAATGAGAAATAGCTCTGGAAATGTATCTTAATGACTTGCATGGGAGACAGTTACTAACCTTTTCAAGTTTCCACGTCCCTTTTGTGTTGGTGGTAGCAGGGATGAACCCGGGGCCTTGTGCAGGCTTGGCAAGTGCTCTGCCCCTGACGATGCTGGGCAAAGGGGCTCCGCCAACCTCCCGCTGATGGGGTTCCTATTACAGGCAGCTTTGAGCAGCGGATTTGCTCTAGGCCTCTCCTTGGAGACACTGCTGCCCCAAGTTGGCACCAGACAAACCTGGGGCCCCTGATGGCACTGCTAAGACGTCATAGAGCCTGTAGAGTGCAGGGTCTTCATGCTCCTTGCCTGCGATCTGCCTGTACAGCAACTTCTTGATGTAGCGAGCGCTTCTGAAACTGGTTCTGCCAGTGAGCTCTGTGCGGTGCACAGCAGGTGTGGGATGCTCCTCGGCTCCGCTACAGAAAGCAGAAGCCCTTTTCTGCCAAGTGTGCACAAAGCAGTTACCTTCTGCTGGGAGGCCCTTAGTCGGCTGAGGAGGTGGGGTTGCAGCTGGCTCTCTGTGACCATTTCATCACTGGTCCTGTGTGTGTGTGTGCTGTTTGTTTGTTTGTCTGTTTGTTTATTTGGTACAGGGCCTCTGCTATGCAGCTCAGACTTGTAGTGATCCTCCTGTCTTAACCTCCCCAGCACTGGGATTATAGGCGTGCACCACCACCCCTGGTTTCGGTGGCCAGCACAGCACACCCGGGGTTCAGGGGCATGACCAAGGACCAAACCCAGGTCCTTGCACTTTCTAGGCAGGCGCTTAGACTGCCGAGTATCTCCCCAGGCTCCTGTGTTGGTTCTTATTCATTACTCACAGCAGAGCCTCAGAGCCCTGGGCTCCTGTGTGCAGTCGTGTGGAGAGACTGTTCCTGAAGGCTATGTCCCCAGCCCACTCCTGCATCAGTTTCCATGCCTCCACAGCTAGTCTTTGGCTGCTGCACTTGGTACTTGCTACTGTGTGTGTCACTGACTGAGGATAGATGCCCTGCCCTGTGCATTTGTGGACACATGCTGGGCTACACGGCCCTGAGCCCACCTGGAACCCCACGTAGGACCTCACCATCAGTCAGGCATTTGGTCCTCAGGCTGTGAGGGGCAGGAGGTCAGTCAATCTCTCCTGCTTGTCTGGGACTGGTATGAGAGCTGGTCTGCATTAGTAAATGGCCTGTATCTGGAGGGGTCGCTTCAGGAAGGAAAATTTATTTTGGTAAGAGGAAGACTGGTAAAAAAGTATGATTGTGTGAAGGTCAATGGTCTAAGGAAATTATACTGAGGATTGCTTTAAATGCTGTCGGTATTTTCTTCTGAGGACAGTTAGAGCAAAGCCATAAGTATCAAAATCCCCAATGGTGGCCTGTCTGTTCACCCTTGGTCACCAACTCTATTCAGTGTTGCTTTCATTCACTGCAATCCAAAAAAGAAAGGAAAAGATTCTGCTTTTCCCAGGGAAATTTGGAGAGACTGTTTGCCCTTCTTGAGGAGGACTGATAGAGACCAGAATGCTGTGCCCTCTCCCCTTGGGCCTATATCTTGTGAGGACATCAGGACCCCCATATGTGGAGCACACATGAAGAGGTTGTGACCCACACACAGAGGCTCCTGGGATCTGCAGAAGCCGCCTTCTTATGAGGGCACATGTGGAGGCCCAAGGCTGTCAGCTATCAGAACTTACAGTGGGAGCCAGACAGTGCTCACTGTAGGATAATGTTGGGGACATGGCAAGGTGGCCCCAAAGAAGGACAGCCTCTGGAGAGCTGAGCAGAGACCTCCTGAGAACATCTACCCCTCTCCCCAGCTGCTGACAGTTGCTGTTCATTCTTATGCGGAAGAGTTTATTTAGTTGAAAACCTCACATCTTGTTAATTAATTTTAGCACAAACCTCTCACGCACTTCTACAGGAATCTCTGGTGGTGTCCTGGCTGCACAGCCCCCTCAGCCACACAGGAGACTACAGAAATCTGTTCTGCTGTAGTCCTAATCTGGGAGCCCGGAGTCACGTGGCATCAAGCTGCCACAGAGTGCCACCTGGTTCTCGATCTAATCAATGGTGTCACCAAAGAACACAGGATCATCTTACCCTTGCTTCAAAGGGACTGAGCAGGGACAGACGAAGCACTTCTTTCCTCATTGCATCTTTGAGCCATGCTAGCCTTAACTGTTCTGAGACACGCTGAACAGATGGAGATTGCAGCCAGGGCAGCAGCGGGGTAGGGCCAGAGCTAACCTGGCCCCACGAGAGAAAGCTGAGCTGTGTGCGCATGCTTCTCTGTTAGTGGAGGTGTGGCTGAGAAGCAGGCCATGGCACAGCGACAGAAATACTGAACCTTGCCTAATTCTGCACCCCTCAACACGAGCATCCTCAGAAGTTGTCTGTGTGAAAAATGAGACCGGCAGTGGGCAGGGTTTCAGCAAAACCTCCTTCCTGCGTCAGGAACTACACACTTCTAAGAGCACTGAGTAAGCAGGACATGTACTCTTGGTAATGACAAGATTTCTCTGTAGATCAAGAGAGAAATTGATTTGAAAACATCAGGAAAACTGAAAGAACGATTCAAGCGAGGGCATACTTTATGGCAGCTTGGGCTTTTGTGCTTTATGGGCAGTGGTAACCAGAGCAGGACTCCGTTCTCTCTGCAGCATCCTTGCAGAGCTGGTTTTTTGGTCATGCTCAGCTTACAGAGGAGAAAGCTGAGGCTTTGAGTGCCATCCACAGCATCCCTGCACAGCCTCAGGATTCACACCCATATCATTCGGCCCCTGCACTAGGCCTTCGGTTTCTGGGTGTATGTGATGCAGTCACTGATGGTCCTCAGGTCAGCTCCATGCCTCAGGGTTATCTCATCAGTCTTCAAGTGTGGGATGACCAGCGATCAAGGGCTAGTTCATGTGGAGTTGGGAGACACTGGAGTTCTTTTCTGACCATAGTGGTGAACCTGAGAGAAAGGCTTTCTCCATCTCGATGTGCTGTGAGCATGCCACTGAATGTCCTTCTACCTTCTGTTTTTAGTTAGAGGAAAATCAAGTCTGATGGGGGTGCGACTGATGAAAACCAGTTTGTTCCTAGTTTTGAACCTCTTTGACCCACAGTAAAATATCCAGGGTTAGGTTTCCTGTGGTAAAAGTGTGGCCTCGCCAGGGCTGTGGTTTGGAAGCCCCCAGGCCAAGTCCTCTGGGTACGGTTTTTGGAGTTCGGCTTAGGGGCTCAGAGAGCACTTTGAGGCCAGGCTTATAGCTCTGTGGCACAGCACCTGCCTGGCAAGGGCAAGGTTCAGAATTCAATTTCTAGTATTAAAAAAAAAAAGAGAGAGAGAGAGAGAACACACTTTGATTCCCCACATGCATCTGTTGGTTGACTGTGACAGTTTGCAGCACCCTTCCCTACTGCACAGGTCGTCAGATCTAGTGGTTGTCACAGGGAAGCCAGCAGCAGAGGTCACATCCTGTTCACACTCATGCCCTGTCTGTATAGAGGCTTCACTGCATGACAAATGGTATGTTTGAATTTTACTCAGCATATATTTTGCTAGTTAGTCTTAAGTGTTTTCAATGAGTGGTTTCTCCATTTCAGGTCTCAGATCTGGTGATAATTCTGAACTATGACAAGGCTGTGGAGGCCTTTGCAAAGGGCGGGAACCTGACCCTCGGGGGGAACTTCACTGTGGCAGTGGGGCCCATGGGAAGGTGAGTCCTGGCAAGCAGCGGTGATAGAATGGATGTCAGAGAGTAAAGACTGAAAAGCTACATCTTTTTTTTTATTTTGCATTAAGAGGTAGTTTGAGGGGCTGGTGAGATGGCTCAGTGGTCTAAAGCACCTACTTAGAACAAGCTTAGCAAAGCACAGGGACTGTGGTTCAATCCCCCAGCACCCCATGCCAGCCAGCCCCGCCCCCTGGTGGGCTGAGCTGGCCACACACACACACACATAAATAAATAAAATTAAAAAAAAAAAAAGAGGTAGTTTGAATTAAAATGAAGCTTGTCCAGTAGTTTGGAGGTCACAGCAGACATAAAATTCACAGAACATGGCCTGTGGAATGAACCAGAAAATGAGAAACCAGAACGCACAAAAAGAGACAAAGTGTTTCACAAACATAGGCTGTGGTTTCTGTGGAATTGAGCATAAAGCTGGCCTTAGGGTCAAGGCGAGCCAAGGCAAGCTATGTTGTCTTTTTTTTCTTTTTCTTTTTCTGTAATTTTATTGAGAGACATATAGCAATGAGACAGTTTCAAATCAAATTAGTAAAAAAAATTTTTAAAAATCAAATTCGTATGACAGTTTCAATAATTAACACATTGCATACTCTCTTCCTAGTGGTTAATTGCTATACAAGATGCGGACATGATATCCTATTTACAAACATTATTAGAACTAATCCCTCTATTCATTAAGAGAATGTAACTATATATCTATCCTAACCAAGGCTGTGTTGTCTTAACAGGTAAGGGACAGCCTTGATCAGGGAAGGAAAATATGTTTTTTCACACTAAATCATGAAAATTTGAGGTTGATGTATCTTATGTTAGCAAAACTTAAGTGTGTTTTCTTCTCTTTAATGAAATACTATTCTTTTTTTGTAGTGCTGGGGTTCAAACCCCAGGCCTCACATATCCTAGGCAAGTGCTCTACCTCTGGCTCCTTTTAATCTTTCTTTCTTTCTTTTCTTAGTAGTAAAAAAGAACAATAAAAAAGTACAGAATTTCAAGACAAGATGACAGGAAATTAACAATGGTTATCCTAGGGCGTATTGTTATCTTCAGAGTAGTTGCTTAGAGCAGACATAGACATGTAAAACTGGCCAAACAGTATAAGCACTAATTTGAGACAGAAACCAGGAAGCTGAGGCAGGAGATCACCAAGAGTTTGAGGCCAACCTGGGCTACATAGTGAGTTCAAGGCCAGCCTAGAAAATATAGAAAGTCCCTATTAAAGAAAGAAAGAAAAAGTAAGAAAAACCACCCCGCAGAAATAGAAGAAAAAAAAAAAAAATGAGGCGAGTCTTGCTAATTGCCCGGGCTGGCCTCAGCCTCCCTGGGCTCTGAGACTCCAAGTACAAGTGTGTGTCACCACCCCCAGCCTCACATGCTAATGGGTTCTTTGAGCCATGTAGAAAAATGGCTCTACAGGCTCCTTATGGAAGGGAAGTGGTCTGAAAGGTATCTGCCAAGAGGCATCAAATGCACCATGCAAGATGAGTGCACACTCTGGCTCACCGGGGCTTTCTGTTGGGACCCACTGCCGTTGTGCCATCCTCTGCTGCGCCGGGGTCACCGTGCCTCCTGGCGGTGTGGTGCCTGTCTTAACCTTGGGCCAGAATCACACTCAGCCGACAGAGGCAACCCCAGTGCCCTGCCGTGCTGTGCTGTGCCGAGGCTGTCGTGGGCCTGGCAGGGCAGCCTTCTCCGTTGTGATCTCTGTCTCTGGCCCTGGCAGGAACCTGGAAGGCAACGTGGCTCTCAGGAGCCCAGCAGCCGTCTTCACCTACTGCAAGTCCAGGGGCCTCTTTGCTGGCATCTCTCTGGAAGGAAGCTGCCTGATCGAGAGGAAGGAAACCAACCGGAA